GCCACCTGCTCGCGGTGCGCCAGGGACACCTGAAACACACACACACAGGTGAGCGGGAGTCCGGCTCGAAGCTGCAGGGACGGAGCAGGCTGCAGATCTCACCAGCTGAGCGCCGTATTTGAACACCTTCTTCCCGGAGTCATCCTCGCTGTAGAACTCCTGCAGGAAGCGCTTGCACTTCTCTGGAACACAGCAGCAGCAGAAAAACCACGATCACACACAGACCTGTCGAGCGGCTCGTGTAAATGTTAAGTGAAGGAGACGCTGATGAGTCCAGATGAGCGAAAGCCGAGGCGACACTGCGTCCAGCTTCACACACTCACTAGCAGCTGTTCAACAGAAATGAACAGAGTTAAACTCCGCGAATGATCGCCGCGGCCAAGCAGCCTCGGAGCGACTCGAGCGAAACATCGAGCTGATGTCGTGTCGCCGAACCTGATCGCGACTCCCGAGTCCGTGTCCCGGTGCTCCGACCGCGCGTCATCTCGCTGCATTTGCCTTCGCGTTATAAACGACGCGCGTGTAACGCCACCTGATGGCTGCTGTTTTTGTAAACAAAGCAGCACATGGCTCTGGAGCCGCGCCGCTTCCGCGATCCCTCCGCGCTTCATAAAGTAGTCCCGTCCGGTCAGAGCCGCACCGACCCGCGCTCAGCGGAGCGCTACACGTAACGTTACAGACGAAACTTTCACACGGTGCTGTAAAGCGACAACCACTACAGGACCGACCGATCGGAATAAACGCACGCATGATTCTGGACGGATTTGTTAAAGTTCTGACTGAAAATAGGAGCGTGCGTCTGAAACCGAGCACGTGCTCGCCGCTCTTTGTTCCGAGCCTCCTGCATCCGGGCACTCTAGCACAAGCGCGCGCAACCCCCGCGAGCCACAGCTGAACTAACCCGAACCCTTTCGTTAGAAACGCATCTACAAGCGCCGTGTCGCAGTAAAACAGCACGTGTGTTACATCGACTCCGTTCAGATACCAAATATGATGATTCAAAAGTGTTTTCATCTAGATCTCATTTCATCAGACTTTGCCGCGTATCGCCTCAGAAACAGAGCGAAGAGCTCTTAACTAAACTAGAGTTCACTTCCCAACTTACCCTTCTCCGCCATGTAATCCTTTGGTGCCATGTTTATCGCAGAAGTGTGGAAAAGTCGCGTTTCTAAGGTAAACGTGTAAGTATTTGAGCTAGGAGACGGTTTCCTGACTGAAGATGCTACTCTCTCGAGCGCAGCTGCGAAAACTGGCGCGAGTCTGCTGGTGCTTTCCACCAATGAGAACGCGTCTCCGAGTGCGCGAGGGCGGGGCTCTGCCTGTGGCGCGAGAATCTTCCAAACCTAGTTTGTCACGTGGGCAGATTGACCAATAAAGTCTGCGCTTTGAAACCGCGGCAAAACAGTCCGGTTGATGACGTCATGACAAGAGAGGCGAACAGTGAAGACATCCGGGGCTCGAGTCTCCAGCAGCGCGCGCTGAACATCACACAATATAGCTAATAATAATAAAGTCCCGCCGGGCATTAATGAGGCATGGTTTCTCTCACTGCACACTGTATTGTAATATTACATGCTATAGTGTATTGTGTGGATTATATGAAGAACTGAGTAATATGAGTAATCATGAGAAGTGTTCAGTAAAGCTGAACTCTTACAGAGGAAAAACACTTGCGAGAAATAAATGTAAATGATTTATTTAAACAAAGATAATAAACAAAACTGTTTTAACACTTAAACCAACATCATTTTTAACCATCAAATCAAATTCAGACCAACCTGGTGACATTAATAACTCAACTGAACCGTTTTACACTAACAACACATCCCATAATGCCCCACTGGTGAGGGTGAACCCGGCCCGGCCCGG